GCAGGCAGATAAATAAGCCTCGCAGATTTTCGTTTACTGAGAATGATGAAAGTCCACAAAAGTTGTAAACATAATATATATTGTTAATGTTTGTATTTTCAAAAAAAAAGGGACGTGTTACGATATACTGGTGGCGACACATAGCGGCCAACAAAAAACGAAAGTCGGCTGTCGTCTGTCATACAGTCCATAACGAGTGTCTCCTCTTTAGTAGTAATAAATAATAATTTAAGTTTTGTCAGTCTTATACAACATATAATATAACACAGCAGTATAAAACTTATTTGTAGATACATAGATGAAATCTTCAAAATATGGAATGATGATATAAAAAATACAAGACTTTATAAGGGAAATTAATAACAATTCTGTAGGAATACAACTTAATTTGGATCAAATTAGCAAACAAAAAGTTAATTTTCTTGACCTATACATCTCCAAGTTGGGAAATAACATGCCATGAAAGTATATAAAAAACCTTCTAATTATGACTCTTACATACATTGGAGATCAAATGACATAATGGCTCATAAACTATAAACTTTTAGAACTTTAATAAAAAGAGCTATAACACATTCTTCTTTAATGATAGACAGAGAACAAGCATTCAAGTACTATATACTATGCAGACAGCAGTTACACATGGCTTTCCTAGTAAGGTTATTAAAAATCTCATCAAAGCAGCAGCAGAAAAGTACAAATTTGGTCCCAATGATGAATATAAGAAAGAAGATTGAGCTACTAATAAGATATGAGTAAATACAGGAGTAAAGATGGCCGGTTTAATTAATACTTACATTTAAAGGAATAATATTTCTTTAGCTATCAGATGTGTCCCTTCTATTAGGCAACTACTTTGTATGGATAAGGAAGAGATAAAATAAATGTATAAGGCAAGAGTATATATGGTCAACCTTAAAAAAACAAATGATAGCTTCTACTATGTAGGATTGATGTACAGAACTCTATGGCAATGCCTAAAAGAACATTTAATACAGATTCATAAAGACAAAAAAATTGCTACATCATTAACAAAATGGGCACTTGATAATGAAGTACAAGTTTTTTGAAAAAATCGTATTATAATAAAAAGCTGGACAGACAAACATATGTTAAGCTGTTAATATTAGACTTTGTTTCTCCCAAGAAAAGACACCTTCAGTTATAATCTAAACACCTTTACTTACAAAATATTAAACAAAAGAATACAGGAAATTTAGTTATGCTTTACATACTTCACTTTACTACTTTAACTCTAGTGCCAATCACAACAGTGCCCCCTCGTGTTCTCTTTGGTTTTTACTTACTAAATTAAATTCTTCCAACATAAGCATTATAGAACAATAGAACAATGTTATATGTTTATATTTATATATATATATAGCTTCGCGTTGAATTTTCATCGATGTTAAGCTTAATGTAAACTTTTTAAAATAATAATCATGGATATTGTATCGTTAAAAATTATTTCTTTATTTTTTACAAACAAAATAAATATATTGAAAAATATAAAAACCAAAAAATATATACTTTAGAAGTTGATCTAGTATCAAAAACATTCGATTCATGATGACACACAGTCCTCAGAAAAACACCACACAAAAGTGCCAGTGCTGCCAGCTAAAACACACACACCAACAAAAAAAATATTGTAGTAGCCCAAGACATAGCCAAAGATTGCAGCACTACAGCATTAGTGAAAATTTAAATTTGCCGACTGGAATGCTTTCGGTTAACCAACGTTTCAGATCACCAACTTTCAAATAAACGACACTCTACTGTATATATATATATATATCTNTATCAGCAAACTTTCAGCCTCAGTGAACAATGCCATTAAGGATGATGAGTTTTCGGTAAACAGCCTTAAGGATTAAAGAGGTTTTACATTTTATGGCTTTAGTCTGCTAATTATTTTTGACGCTAATCACATTTGAAGACATGTGCAAATCATGTGCTTACCGTTCTGCTATAAAAGCTTGGACTCAAGTCGTTTAGTACATAAAGCTTAGTTTACACTGAGCGCGATTCGCTAGCGACCGCGCTCAGTGTAAACTAAGCTTAAGAAGCAATTTAGTATTGCTCTCCCGTACTGAACTTCGTGTACATTTTTAGATATTCCATAAATAATTGAAAATAATTTTCGTCTGAAATGGTAAGTTTCATTTTACTTATATATTTCTTTATTTATTGGGGAAACTATATATATATATATATATATTTTTTTTTTTTCCACACAAAAGTAATGTAATTAATGCAAATGACTCCATAATTTTAGATTGTAGATGGGTTGAAGTTTTAAACACTCAAAATTACAATTTTTTTCTGCAAAAAGTAAGAGATTGAATTAGAAAAGTAATTAGAGATAAGATGAGGGGAAAGTTGTTCAAGATCAAAAGAAGAGGTAGAGAGCAGCTTATATCTTTGTGTTATACAATTATTTCACATAATATTTTCATTATTTGAATTTTTAAATGTACAATTTAATTAATTTACTTAACTATTATTTATGTTATAATACTTAAATAAATTCATAAATTAAAGATCTATAATTTATTTATTTATTTACTTTTTGTAGTTTGTTTAATTTAATGTTCGAATGTGATGACATTCTAAAAATGTATTCGTTCCATTGCAATTTAAGAGAGTTTCTGCTGAGAAGGTTCTTATGAAAAGACGAAAATGTTTCCGATTAAAAACAATTTGTTTGGTTTCTGAAAATAGCATTTATTCATTGTTTATTTCTTTACTAAATATTATAAGAATTCATGCTAAAGAGAATTGCTGCTGTAATTAGTTTAAATTAGTGCAAATTGTTATAGGACACATCACATTATCCAATACAGTAGAGCGTCGATTATCCGAAAGTCAATCATCTGAAACGTCAATTATCCGAAAGAATTCCAGTCGGCAAATTTAAATTTTTGCCAGTGCTGTGGCGCTGCAATCTTTGGCTATGTCTTCGGCTACTCAAATATTTATGTTTCTGATACTAAATTAACATCTGAAGTATAATTTTTTATTGTTTTTATATTTTTCAATATATTTATTTTGTTTGTACAAAATAAAAAAATAATTTTTAGCGATACAATAGTCTTCCTTAGGCTTAACATCGACGAAAATTCAACGCAAAGCGACACGCAACGGAAAAAAATTTCAACATCGGATACGTTAAACTATTTTTTCATGCATAATCGGTTATCCGAAATATCAGTTATCCGAACAACCCCAGTCCCCAATTGATTCGGATAATCGACACTACTGTATTTTAAAAATTTAAATCTTTCACTACTACTAATAATAATAATTACAAATTAACTGTTACAGATATCTTTAATAAATATGTACACAGTTTTAACAAAATACGAAATAGGTAACAAAATTACTAAAATATTTATAGAAATAGTTAAAGAAAAACTAAGCAAAATTCCGACTCAAAAAGGTATAGAATTTAAGAAACAAGCACACTTAAAAATGATGTTAATCATTAATGTACAAAAGAAATCATAGAAATTAAAAATGGACTGAAATTGAAAGATTTAACAATACTTAGAGACAAAATAATGCACAACATTTGTAGTGTTGGAAAGACAAGGAAATGGATTGTTATTTTAAACTAATAACTTAAGAATTTTAAAAATTCTTACCACAGACCAATAAAAATGACTCCGTGCCAAACTAGTAAGAAAGAAAATGAAAGTATATAATATTTTATTTAAGAGTACAGATATTCCTAATATCTAAATTTGCAATTGATGATAAAAATTAATATATATTTATACAAATGATTACTTAGAAAAGTCATTAATGTAATTTTATTGAATAAATATTTTGAAATGATTTTCATTTTATTTGATACAACTATTTAAATATATTGTCAAATTATGCAATTTGCAAATTTTAAATAGAAAATAATACAAAAATTACATTTAAGTATTTTGATATTTGCTTTGCCTATTGTTCTACATCAAACAAATATTTATTGATATAATACTCTATAATAATAGAGATACATGGCAGCCTATTGAATTAATAGTTTGAAGCATTCTTCTTCAAAAATTAGCCTCTATATTATATTATAGTAGTATGATTAAAAGGGCTTTAAAATACAGCATTAGGAAACAAAGAAATGAACAACACTATTCTTCAAATGTGTTAACAAAATTTGTTATTAAACAGCAACATCTTACAACAGTGGAAAAAGAAAAAACATTTATTTCCTATAATGCAGGACTTTAAGACAACAGTTACCATTTAGATAAAGAAGCTTCCCAACTAATCAACATTACACTTATAAATCATTTAGATTTGTATATTAAAAGAATCATCTTACACACACACACAACACACACCATTAAAAAATAAATGTGTGCACATAATCATTCTTTTCAATACATAAAAGTTTATTAATAATTCAGTAATCATAAAACACAGTATATTCCAATTTTTCAATTTTTTTTACAGTTTGACAGTTAGCATTTTCAGCTTATCTCCTTTCATATATGTCTTAAGAAGTGTCATTAAAGAAACAACAGATAGAAGTACTCATTTAATTTAAACTATTCATAATTACTCAAAATGTCATTGAGCATTCAGCATTATTTTAATCTGAAGACCTACACTGAAAGATAATTTTACAATACATTCACATGAAAATTAAAACTTGGACAATGGTATTTACATTTTAAAAAATATAAAGATACTAGCAGACCCCGCTATGCGTTGTTGTGGCTCAAAATGTATCTATTATAAATGTATAACACTTCCCTCGTGGGGGGGAATTTTTCGAAAAATCCCTTCTTAGTGTATATTCTGTTCATGTACCCTATTAAAACGCAATCAAAAACGCAAAAAACCACATCTAAAATAGTATAATAGAAGCCAAGTTCTTCATGGTAAGCCTTAATCCTGTCCCTTTCCCCCACAGGGAAAATATTGAAAAATCCCTTTAAATTTCTTAAATATTACATACAACTTAGAATTAACAATTTCTCACTTACCTGGCTTTGTCTATCATGTGGATGCCAAACCGGATGAGGATATAAACATTCATACATTTCGGGACAAAATAATATAAATCTTTTAAATCCATATATCTGGGCAAAAAAGTTTTGTTGTTCATCATAATGTGCAGGAGTAACACTACCTAAAAAAATAATTAAAAAAATAATAAATGACAATTCTCAAACTTAAGTCAAGTAGAAAATTATTAGTAACATTTCATTAGCATTTTGTTTCCTACCTTAAATAATGATAGCATTGAAAATATCTTACATTTTTTATATAATAAAGTGATTAAAATGGCCAACTGCCTGTAATTCAACAACATGGATTTAACTGTTCATGAAATATTCACTGTTGACTATTAATACCGTTTATATAAAAATGGCAAAATAGAGTCATTGATAACAAAAAGCAATTCAACTGTTTCAAAAATATTTAGAAAGTCACTCACAAACAAAACAACTAATTTGAACTGATATGTCAATAGTAAGAATGTCCCGATACCACAGAGGTATTGATAGCGGTATCAGTATCAGTCAAAGTATCAATACCAGCCAATATCAGCATCGGGTACTGAAACTGAAAATCTTGCTGGTTGTCACTCTTCAGTCTTTTGCATTGCCTTCCAGTTGTTTTTATTGCTGAGAAAGTACTGTACTTATTATAATGAAAGCTGAGTTGACACAGAGCAGCAATTAACATTTCATTGTTTACTAGGAAATTGAATTCCAGATATCTGGAGTTCAGGGGGTCAGTGCATCAGTCAATAATTCAGTTCAGCCAAGTTGAACCTAAGCTGTTCAACTTGGTGTCCAAAATGATCCAGACATGTTCAATCAATGGCAAATTGAGACAGGGCAGGCCAGGCCAGAAAAGTGTGACAATGTGGCATAGACAGTCCTGCGACATATGTGCTATGTGTGGTCAAACAATGTCCTGTTGGAAAATGGCTCTTGGGAACCCTGCCATAAGAGACAACACATATGGCTGCAGGATATCACTTACATTGGTCCCTTGGATTGTTATTAGAGGTGACTGGCTTTCGTATGTGATGGTATCCTAGAACATCACAGTGCTTTGGGGTAGTATGCTGCTCTAAAGCATAGACAGGATTGAGGGGTTCACCATAAGACCTCCAGACATTACATTACATTAGTCGATCCCCCTATAACACGGTAGATACATTCCAGTTTTTATGGATCCATTTTCTACAAGTCCTTAAATACATAATCCAATCAAAGCCCGGCACATATGCAGTTTACGAACTATGGCTATTTCAAAGGTTTTTCTTCCATAAAATTAATCAATTCTAGACTAATTCGACTCAATATTTCCAAAATACGTATATTTTTTTTGGAAATAATCCGTATAAACTACGCTATAAACAAAAAATTGTAGGATTACTTACTGAGTGTGCACCACTTGACAACGCCATTGCTTAAGCTTGTTTTCATCGTGGAGTTTGTCATCGAATGGTGCTCGTGTGCTTCCTGATAAATTATTTTTTTTGCAAAAAATTCGCTGAACTTAGGAGACATCATTAATATAAATATAATTTTTATGGACGTTAAATAATAAATGGTTTTTAGTAGGTATGCTGCTCATTTAAACTGAACTGTTTGTACAATATCTGCTATTGGTCTAGATTCGACCAATCCTGTCGTGACACGAGTCGGCGATGACATTTTACCGAATTATACGAGTTTTTTTTAGTGTGTTTGTACAAATACAGTCACAATTTTTTCGCCATTATATAGGAATCTAAACTATATGAACCCGTTTTATAGGGGGGTCTTCTGTACATTACATTAAAAGAGTAGAGAGGTTGTCTAGACAAGAACACGGCCATTATCATTCAAAAACTGAATCTGGATTTGCTGCTGTAAATGACTTGGTTCCGTTCTTTTGCAGTCCAATCTTGTGGGGAATGACACCACTTCAAATGATGGTTAGATGGGTGGTGTCAATGGCAGCACACATAATGGCTGCTGCAATACCGAACATTCTTCACTCAGGTGCCTCAAAATGATACCGATAAGCATGGGCCCGTAATTATGGTGCCACCTGTATCCAGATGGTGGAGTGTTGTGTGTGTGTGTGTGTGTGTGTGTGTGTGTGTGTGTGTGTGTGTGTGCATACATGCTTGTTGGAGGACCAGCAGTCCTCTCAGGCTAGTGTCTTGAGCATGGGCACCATGTGTGCAATCTGTCTCTCTTTCCCTGTTCCCAACACCTCCTCACAGTGTTATCAGAACAGCTTAGGTGGTGGGCTATTCAACAAAATGACCATCCAGCATCTCTCAACCCTCTGAAATTCAGTTAGTTGCTTATACGGTCTTTGACTGTGGCATAAAGGCATCTCTAGTGACACAGCGTCCCCCTGCAACAGGCAAACTACAGACAGGATGCCTTTGCATGCTTTTTTTTATAGGCCAATGGAAATGCACTTTAATGCCCTCTGCTGGCATTATGCAATGAGCCACCATGCTCTAACTCACTGGTTCTCAAACTTATTTTGACCACTGCCCACTTTGAGGTTAAAAAAAACATCTAGTGCCTCATATTTTTTAACTTACCTTTTTACATTACCATCTGTTGATTATCTTAAAAACAATTATTGCAAACATAATGTTTAAACATTCATTATTATATAAATAAGATAGATAGGGTGTGACCCATATCCTATTTCTGAGATCAAAGAACGTTTCAATGAGAAGAAATAAAACTCATATTTAATCACTAAGCCTTCTACTGCCCCCTGAAAGACTCCAGTGCCCACAAGGGGGTGTTATTGCTCACTTTGAGAAAGGATGCTCTAACTCTAATCGTTTCCATATCTGCTTGAGACTTATCTGCATGCCAAGTTCTGCAGTAACACGACAACTTCTTGGTGCACTAATTTTTATGGCAATGAGCATATTTTATAACATATTACATCTACCTGCTATCAATGCTTCTGGGAATGGGAGTGGCACTTGAGGAGGGAAGACGTGATAAATTGTGCTCTGTGGAATTTTTGTGATTGTGCCAGAAGTATTAATCGCATTACATTGTGAGAGTAGCCAAAGACGCAGAGCTCAATCTACGCCACTTATGGGCACTAGTCGGTAAGACCAGCTCTCTAGGATGCAGATCACTAGATCTGATCTTAAAGGTTCTTATAGGAGGGCTTTTAATAATGATCCAAATCTCGCGATTTGGATGCTCATCAGGTTCCCGACACCAGTTTGTCAATTTATCGATGCGCGGACAAACACGCGTATGCGATCTGATTCGGAATAAATTGAGGAGACATTCTTATAACATAAAACAAGAGTAAATTTAATAAATCTCAAACAAACGAATACAAAAATTTCGATTTCAACCATTTAGCGACAAGCTAGAGGCTATGACCTTTTCTATGCTAATGCGCAATCGAGAGAGAGCTCACAAAATGATTCTAAACATACGACCTGTTAGTTGTCGTCGTCTTCGTTTCTGTAGGTAGAGGACACCTTGCAAATAAAGTTCATATTCCTTTCGTAAGGGAGATCAATTCGTGCACAAAATATAAAAATATCACTTCTTCTAAGTGTAGACTCGGACTTAGTCTATCGGACTCCGTTTTGGGCGTTGGCCATCAGGAGGAAAACTGCGTGGAGTTTAGATGCTTCGGATCTGTCGAAGAACTCCGAAATTCTGACTGATTTCTCCTTTTATTCCAAAATTTTCGTCCAATCATCGGCTTGAACTTCGTTCATGTGAGCGGATGAAAGGGGAAGCGAAGAGGGGTCGAAAGTTCCCATCTAAGTGAGATTTTTAACGGATAAGGGAAAAACAGAGGATGTATGGACTTCCTTTAACGGAAGTAGCATCTGTTATCTATCTTTTCCCACGTCTAAAACACTAATTTTTCACAAAAACGAAGTAATATTTTGTGTCGATATTTAAGCATATTTAATAAAAATTATTAAATGAGGCCTAGGGCCCTCAGGTTTTCACAACATCTTTGATGACACTATTGTAATCTACTCTGGATCCTGGTTCGTTTGACATATATATTGTTACAGTATGCTAATTGGGAAATAGTTAATTAACTTTTAATTTCGTAAAATTATTTCGGGGGGGCTGAATCTCTGGGGGCGGCACTAGGGGGTTAGTTAGAAGTTAGCTTAGTCAATAAAAGGGGGTAGCAATATGTTTAGTCTAATATTAATCGAATTATAAAGGTTTAAGATTTTACAGTAGGGATTAATTGGAAAATTTTAAATTTTGGACGGTTATAATGGAATTTAATGGTCTTCTAACGTTTTTTAGCGAAATTTTTAACGGATGTAATAGCTATTCTAAATTAATCTTCGCAACTACAACTTTTATTCTGATGCTCAAGGAATTAATTGTAAAAATACATTTAACTTAATTCATAGTATAACAGTATTGATTATATTAACGGTGCTTTTAATAATTTTCGTCACTTTATCGAATCTGAATGTAATATCTTTACTCTTTTGAGTTAACCGTCAAGTTATTAAGCTTTTAGTCAATATAATAGTAGGTTTCAAATATTATTGGTGTATATTTATTTTACACCAGCACATCTAGGTGGGATTTAGACGTGTTACATTTCAAAACCGTTAGGATAATAAATTACGAGGGGTTGCAGGGGAGACGAGGAGAACGAGGGAGAGAGTAGAGCAAGGAGAGAAGTGAGGCAGTGCGACAGCTGGTGACGACGTGAAAGACGAACAGGTCAAAAAGACATCATGAAAGCGAGAACATTTTCGTCCCATCAAGACGGTTACGTACAGTACATATATAGAAATTGGGCTGCTTTTCTTTTGGCAATGGATCATATTCAGTATCCATCAGATAGACTGGAGCCAACTGACAAACTGCTATTGAATGAGAAGCTACAGTCTCCGCCCCCAACACCACAAGATTCACCTAAACCTAAACTAGACAACAGGAAGGCAAAATAAAATGTAGAAGAGCCAATATTGAGAGAAGCCAGACATTTATTGAGTCGAGTAAAGAAAATATGTCCCGAACTAGGTAATAATTTCATTTGCAATAAGAACAGAGTAGAAATTAGAGAAAGTGCTGCACGAATATTTGAATGCATATGGGGTTATCAGAGAACTTAGAGCCTCCAAAAACGAAATAAATCATAACGAAAAGTACAAGACCCGTTTATACTCAGAGGTGGTTAGCACCGGATTTGAGGAAAGTAGAACTACAAAGACAATTTATAATTCATTGAATACAAAGGTTAACAACGAGGGAATGGGAGGGAATCAAGCAGTCTTAGTATATCCAAACAACGAAGAAGGCCTGAACATCAATATGAAAGAGGTAACAAATGAGAGACTCAATAAAATAGAACCGCACCAACTAAAAATAAAAATAAAAAATGTCAAAACAATTAATGCAAATGGTATATGTATTAGGGTAGGAAGTATGGAAGATGGAAAAAAAACTTAAAGAAGCAATTGAGGACCTTCCAGAAATCAGAGATAGAGTCAAATGTAAAATATCTGAAGGGAAAAGACCAGGAGTTATCCTCTTAAATATCCCTAACAGCATCACGGATGAAAAACTAATAGAGGTAATGATAGAACAGAACAACATATGGAAGGAAATGGATAGCAACAGTGTCAGAGATGCATGCAGAATCAGTACAATATTAAGGAGAGGAAAAGCAAAGGAAAATTGCCGACATGCCGTTTTATCAGTAACACCAAATATCCGCAATATCTTAATAGCTCATCAGCATATCTCCATGTCATGGACTAATATACATGTTGATGATTTTATACCAATCACGCGATGCTATCAATGTTGTGGATTCAACCACCTTCCGCGTGATTGCACAGAAGAACAAAAATGCAGTCATTGTTCTAAGGGCCACCGTTATAAGGACTGTCAACTACTGAACACAATACCATTTTGCATAAATTGCAAAAAAGCTAATAGGAACCTACCGCCAGATAGAAAAAGGTCAACAAATCACAACACACTCAGTAGCCAATGTCCAATATTAGCAAAGTTGAAGATTCAAACGATTGACAAAACTGACTATGGACTGTAATCATACTCTAAACACTCCGACTAACACAAATCATAATAGGCAAGAGAAAGACCATCACAACAATTCTGATGTAGGCCTTAATATTTTACATATTAACGCACAAAGAGGGAAAGCTTCAAGCTCTTTAATGATGCATAAAGCTAATAAGCTTGAAGCTGATCTAATTTTAATTCAAGAGCCATATACAGTAAAAAACTCAATAATGAGGCTTAGAAATTGGCAAATCCTTTATAAAAATAATGGGAGTACTCCAAAAAGCTGTATAGGGGTGAACAATAATTTGA